GTTTCTATTTTATCAGAGAGGCCATGGTCCAAACTGAATGTCAGCAAAGGAAATGATCTAATCTTTTCAGTTTTTTTAATGAGACCTAATAACATTCCCAGCACTTCCAATAAATTTGCATTATCTTTTGAAAATTGGTTTCATTCAGGCTCCAGTCATAAAAATACGTGCCCATGCTGCAAATATGCAGACATGTCTTGTGAGAAGCTGTTCTCAGAATCAGTGGTTCACTGGTAAATGATGCATCATTTCACACGTGCTCAAGACCCCACAATTAGGTTTGGACTCAAGACGAGTACTCTGCCCAGAAGCTTCTATGTAATTTGACATACAAGTAGTAAGACCAAATAGATGCAACTGTCACATCCATAAAAGAATTAAAGATTCTTTCTCTAGGAGTTTGGCAAGCCATTTTTTCTTGAAGGAGATGCACATAAAAGTGATTAACCATCTAATGCAAACTAAAAAGGTTGTTTTTTACAACATGCCATATCTAGTATGACCACAGGTTCCTAATACTAATACTGATGAGAGAATCAATACTTCCTTGATTCAATGCATCTTTGCCTGCAATTTACTTTGTACAAAGGTAGAATAATAAATAGAACATATTTTCTTTCAATGAGAGTAAAAATGCATGAAGTTGCCTACCAAAAAATTGTAGAAAATTAACAATGCTGTGTGTTTTTATAAAGAAAGTATGTAAAGATACTTGTGGGTAGGGAAGGGTATCATGTTGAAGACAAGCACAGCTACCATTGAGTAGTATATTTTTTCCTCAAGAAGTTCAGCATCTACATGAAGTATATCTGCTTGTGGAACCTTATTACAATGGATTCTCCTCCTGATGTAAGCAAAGGGTGACAGAGAATTAATGTGCCATTTAACCTAATAAATGTCGGAAACAGACCTCTTTAAAAAGTGGTGGTTTTGAAAGAGGCATTTCTACTCTCTATAAAAAAACTAAACATTAGTAAGAAGCCAAAATTTAGGCAATGCTCCTTAGTTTACCAATTCCTTCCATTCTCAGCTGCTGAGATAGGGCAGCTTTAGTAGCTGTGCGTCCACCTTTTGAAATTTGGCACATTAGCCATTATTTCCCCACACATTGGAATGAACAAAATGGCAGTGGATGACAGACTATTAATGACCTTTTTCAGAGCACTGAGAGATCCTTTGCCATTCACACACCTTTTGAAGGCAGAACAGTATTCATTAGTGTAGTTCAAACTTCAAGTAATTATTTACAGAGCACATTAAAGTCCTGATAGCAAATATGTTATGTAAACACTAAGCATTTCACACTAAACTAGCATACATTTCACCTCACAATTCAAAATCCAGAACACTGCTTTGGGAGTAAAAAGTAGCAATAATCAAGAATGGACACAACTCCATTCTTACAGCAACACGGTCTCTTTCTTCTACAGCAAAGCAGGGCAGAAATCCTAGGGCTTAGTTGGAAAATTCTTAAGAGATTGAAGCTAGGAGTATTGGCATAATATGAAAGGGAGGAGCAGAGGTGTTTCTAGGGGACAGCGAGAAAAAAAAAAGAAAAAAAATGAAGGGTGACAGAAGAGCTACAGCTCCCCCTTCCAAACTACCTGCTAGTACATTGCAAGGGCAAAATGCTACAGAGTGACTCAAAGCAGACAGGAACTCCAGGCATCCCAGGATAAGCCTCTGAATAACTCTCCAATTACAAAACATTCTTGTTGGCCAGATACTAATGGGACAAACTGCAGAAGAACAGAGAGCTGGGCCAATGCCAGTGAGTTGGGAGTGTTGTAGGCACAGCAGCCACATGTTCAATGCCCCTGCAGACTGACAGCACAGTGCCAGGCACCCTGACTGCAGGGGAGTCACTGCTGCCTGAACTGGAGCGACAGCAAGAGGCCAAAACCAGGTATTTCAATGTAAAACAGTCTCCTGCTCCAGGTAAAAAAGATCAGTACTGGTCTTGACTATGTATGGATGACCATACATTATGGTTGGAGTGTTATGCTGGAGTCCTTTTCCATTATTATGGAAACCTGATTATGGTTGGACTGTTATGCTAGAGTCCTTTTCCATCAGTCACAGAGGGAGCAGTTTCTGAGCACTGCAGTATCCTTGAAGAACACATCTTCAGCAGCAGACCAGGGGGGCACTCTTGACTACTTTCATCTGCGAAGAGTCAAACACAATAGGTCAAGCAGGGCTTTGACACAGTAAAGCAGAACATAGGTGAACTCTAGATATCTAAAGACAGAATTTTAAATGTGGCCCTTCTTTAGTGAGCACCTGCATTTTCCCTTTTGTACACGCACAAGGTTACACTTGGTTTGAGACATTAAGTTCCAAAATTCTGTCCCAGCCTGACCAGGACTGGGAACCTGATGTCACTGCAGAATTCCCCAAAAGGGCCTGATCAGAATACTTCACTTTTTTGATCTTCCTAAACTCTCCATACCTTCCTATACTTACAATGAAAAGGATATAAATGTGTTTATTTAAGCATACACACACATTTCTTTCAGTATAGCCTAAACAGTTGTTCTTCAGTTAAAACGTCCTTCCAAAGGATTAAAAATAATCAATTTACATCACTATTTTTCAAGTTTACATTAGAATTCAAATCACTTTGAAACACATCTCTCAAAAAATAGTAAACTGCCAACATCATGCACAAAGTAACCCAAGCCCAAAAGAGAAAGCCCATGTTTACTTAAGTTTTACTTCTTGTAGAAATTAATTATTGTCATTTACAGTGCTAGGATTATCTTTTTTTTTTCTTAATTTTCTTGCATTCCTCTCAAGTTGATCAGATTCAGGATGAATATATTTGTTGTCATATGCTCTTACTCTGAGAACTGCTGATTTGGTTAGCAAACACTTGAATTTAGTCCTTGGGTTTTGGTTCTGTACTCACCTAAAACATGAGTAATATATATTCAAAGATGTGATGATAGTTAAATTGCAGTAATAACAATATACACTAAGTGTATCAAATAATCTATAACAAGACTATAGTTGCAACAGACTATAATCTCATATGACACATGCAAAAGCTCATTTTAGTAATTCTTACAGCTAAAAGTATGATCACCAAATACCAGAGTTAAGAAAAGTAGATTTATTCGATTCTTCTTTTAGTTTGATGACAAAGTAGTACATTTCATTAACAGTAGCACAGAAATGAACAGTCTTTAATCTCTAGAATATAACAAGAGACAGTAAATGCCTAAGTGACATGTGACAGGTTTCACCAGATTTAGCAGCAAATACAATTTCCATAATGCACTCAGCGTCACACTTCCGAAACCAACAAACTCCTTCTTTTGAAGCTTCTGAAGTACTCCCTACAGTGGTGCAACCTTTCCATATTTAGTCATGAAAAATACAGAATCCTCAGTATATCAAGTTACCAAAAGCAGAAACTAACCAAAAGAAAAAAAGGAAAATCCCACTCCACAAAGCAGCCAGCCTCAGTCTTCACTGTTAGAACAGAGGAGCAGTTCCTTCATTATCAGATCTGCTTCATACAAGCTGACACACTTCTCATACATCTCACACATACATTGTCTACTCAGATGGAAATTTTTTTCCTCAAACTATTTTTATTTTTACATATATATTTATATATGAATCACTACAAAGATTAAAAAGAAATTAGCAAAATGGATACGGGTAAGAGTGTGGTTTTCCTCTTAGGAAAAGGACTTCCACAGGTAATATTTATTCCTACCATGCATGACAGTTGCCTTTACAGTGGGAACCATCCATGACCATTAGAACTTCAAGTACCAAAGTTTCCCTAATTTTTTTCCTAAATGTGAAGTTACATGACTCAAACATTGAGTGGGGTTTTCCCCTGAAGAGGGGGGAAAAAAAGCTTCCAGTATCTGTTAAACAGAAGCACTTTCAGAAAACCAATGTACAGCTGGTTCACAGTTAAGGTTGGGAAGTTTTATAAAGGCAGCTTCAACAATGTGATATTCTCTTACTCCTTTCCATTCCTAAGTGTTTTGCACAGCACCTGAAATTCCCCAAAGTGTGCAAATTTAAAGCTATGACAGCGGAAGACTGTTTCCCTTATTAAGCACAAACAATCAAATCTTCAAGCCACACAACATCAACATGCATCACTCTTACAAAATACTGAAATCAACCTTATTTCTTAGCATTTTTGATATCTTTTTAGCCAAGTTATATACACACCTGTAATATGCCTCATATAATCACGTGTGTGACTGTGTAGTCACACACCCTTGTGCAATTTCTTACTATATAAAAAAACTGCTATGGTACATTTGACAAAGCCAAGATGCAGAATACAGATGCATTGCATGAGTTTCTTTAAATAAGGCTTAGCTCTGTCCTGAACACATTACATGACACACATTAAAGACATGAAAATATTACAATAATAAATTTCCTTACATCAGAAAACAAACCTTTTAAATACTCTTATAAATAGCCATTAAATATCAATTTTATCTCTTTTTAGAAACACCTTTTTAGAAGTGATATTTCCTGCTTCTAACAGATGTTGTTCTGTTCAAAGACAAATTGCAGATTAAGGCATGAGTGTATTCTCCTTTTCAACTTAACATACTCTTAAAATACTCATACTACACTATACCTCCTTGAACTGAATAACCTCAACTGAAGTTTTGTGAGAAGTATGTATTTGAACAGGTCAAGTGCCACAGGAAAACAAGTATGTGGTTTCATATTGCTAATAAAACAAGTGGTTTGAAACAGTCCAGACCTTTTACCCTTTGTTCATCATTGAGGTATCAAAATACTTTAACTATGTGAACTAATGTATGAAATTTCCAGTTTTCACTAATTAAGTAATACTCAAAACTCTAGTCAGAATCAGAATTGTAATGTATTTGATGCAGCACAGAAGGCATGAAATGAAAAGGCAAGCTTATGGCAGAATCTGAGATAAAGAAAAGATTTCTCAGTTCTTCAGAAAATTAAGATATATGGTTTTGCTTTATTTCATTCAAAACACCACAAAGCATTGGTGTACTTAACAACAGATTCCCCATCCTCCCATCCCACCCTGCAAAAAACAGCGGTGATGATGAAAACAATGACAGCTGCAGTGAACTATTTCAAGTCCTGGTATTCACTTATCCTTTGTCCAGAAGGAAAGTGGTTTACTTTTCCATTACACACCAGAGGAGCAGTTATGAAGTCCACCGCCACCAAGCCACCTTCGCTCTGTCCCACACAGCAGAGAGAGAGTCCAGCGCGGGGCGCACGTCCAGGATGGTGAACTGGTAGTTCTTATCTACTGCTCCCCCATCGTAGTAATCGATAACATATCGCACTTCTTTTCCACACCGGTCAACGATCCAGTCATGTCTGTCAAAGGGCAGTTCATACCTGGAACAACAGATAATAGACCATGTAAATATTTTAATGCATATTAATGAACCTGTGAGAGGGAGTGGAAGTACTATTTAAGATTTATTTGTCCACAAGATCCCACTAATAATTCTACCTTCTGGCAACTGTAACTTGCAATACCAGGTCTGAAACATCTTTAAATTTATTCTACACCATGTTCTCAGACATGTCTCTCTAGCCTCCCAGCTCACTGGAAGAGCTGCCCACATACCCCATCCACGAACGTATCCTGGCTCTTGGTGAATACTCCTTTGCTTTGCCTCCAAACCGCATCAGCGATGGTCCACATGGACATTCCCTGTGCACAGATTTAGAAAGGACAATAGTTTTTATCTTTCAAAACAGCCTTATTTTAAGTGATTAAACCACTATGGTAATTTATTTTAGAAACAGAGAAACTGAATAGAAGAGCGAGCAACTGTAAAAAATTAATTACAAGTGATCTAAACCACCTTTTTTGGGTTTGGTTCTTTTTTTTTTTCTTTGAAAGTCTGAGAAGTCATCCAGTTTCTGCCAGCACTTACTGCTGGTATAATGAAGTATTTCTGATATGCTCCACACCACTGTTCTAACTCATCAACAGAGCAGTTCTCACCAAATCTAATCCACTTAATAGATTAAGAAACAGAAAACCATAATCTTTGTTACTGTGTAACAAAGAGCATGCAATTTCAGAGAAAAATTTTGACACACAGCGTGCTTAACTAATCTGTCTCTGGCAGGAACAGGGACTACACTGACCTTAAAAGTGACAGTTTGCATTACACCATTCACTGCTAATGTAAGTTTACATCTCGTCATGACATAAAGATTTCAATTAAATAATTCCCAGATACAACAAAAAGTAATTTCTCCAAATCCACATTATAAACACACCACCAAAATGTTCATCAGTTTTATCAACATATTCAGTTCTAGTTAAGCTCTTCTGGATATTCTTCCTCTATGTTAATCAAAATGCAGACTCCTACAAGAGCACAACTTTTGAGACGTTATCAGCACCGAAATATTTCTGCAAAAACTAAAGAGACATTCTACTGTCGAAGAATCACAAAAGCAAAAGCTAAACACAAGGATTTGCTTTCCATTTCATATGTACATACCCAGCGTGAAGAGCTTCCCACTTCAAAATCTCTTTCCATGCTTGCTCATTATTTTGGTTGTGAATCTTAATAATGTTGGTCATGTCTTCACTTGTTATGTCATCATCTTTCCACCTCCACCTAAAAAAAATAAGAAGTTGAAAACAGCTGATAAGCATTACAGCATTAACTACTCCACCTTACTTGGTTTATCTGAGGGATTTTTGAATCAAGAGATTTAAGGTTTTATGCCAAGGCATAAGACAAGTATGTAAACTTCTGGCTCATCAGCTTAAGCATCTTGAGAACCACTTCATTTTCTGTGTGGAAGTGCAGTTATCAAAGTTATCATCACAGAAATCCAAAAATTCTACACAGCTAAATTAACAGCTTAACTGGATCAGAAAGTTATCAGAGTGTGCAAACATCAGCACATCCATGGTATTCATAAAAATGATTAGGAAAAATCCCACTTGCATTCCTAATGCACAGAAGTCCTATATTCAATCCATTTTGCACACACTTAGAAATGCCTTTCATGTCCCTTGACCCTGCACTGTGACTACACATGTCCTTCCTTTTCAAAAGGCTTAACTCTGTACACATCTCTGTTTACAGGACCAAAACTTGTACGTACAGTATAGACTGCTCTGCTTGTGAGGTATTGTCTTACGAACAGTATCAATACATAGAACAAAGAAATAGTATTGTTTCAATAGTGACCACCTGTGAAGTTGACCTGTTTGAGAGTGACAAACCAATAGTTACAAAAAAATTAGGAAACAGCAGCACAGGTTTTTTAGGCCACAGGAGAAATTAATCATTCTGTTAGGTCTTGCCTATGATAAATTTCTGTAAACACTGAAAATATCTACTTGTTCGTTTCCACATTTTTAGCAATTCTGCAAAGTCCAGTTGGATTCCAACCTGGATTCTATGGTTCCATAGAATCTTCTAACCTGGTTGATTCTATGATTGGATGCTTTCACAATCATAGAACTTCTACTTCAGTTTACAGGATTAGCATGAAAAGTTGAGAGTTGGCAATCATGCAAACTTTGTCTATGCCTATGCACAACTTTTAAGAAAATTTTCCAAGCCAGCAGCAGTTGCTTGGCATGCCCTACCATCCTCCTGATCACTAGAGGAGACATGGCCTTTGAGAGCAGCTCACTCTATGAAATGGAGAAGTCTATAAAGAGGTGGGGTTTTTTAAAGAGCTGGTTAATTATTTACTGGTTAGAACCCACAAACTCTTAAACAGTAATGAATAATAACTAATATTTCATGAATTTCAGGCTCACAGAGTCCGTCTGGTAATTCACAGTGCATTTACCCTTTTCTTAGCATAGCATTCCAGAACATTTGCTCTGAAGGGTAGACCCATTTCTTGTCAGAATGAGCTCTAGGAATGGAAGATTCTTCTCTAACAGTTGACAACGGAAATGGCTGACCTGGGGATGGCTGCTGATTAGGAGGAGGCATCTAAAAAACAAGGAGGATCAACAACAAATGAGATTATCAACATCTTTTTTTATGTTATGGTGTTTGAGAAAAATCAAAGCATAATCAATCAGCTCCTACTAAGACCAAGAAGTCCAGCCTTAAGTCCACCAAATTATCTTTCTCTTTTGCAGTAGAACTCTGCACAAGTTTGCCATCAGAACACTAAAGGTACCTTTTGCCTAAACTTCAGCTTTCAAAACACCAATGCTCCTTCTAAATCAGAGGAAATCTTGGAGAGATGCTAATCAGAACTTACCCATACTGCTACTACACAGAACACAATATCCACTAACGTAGAATGAAAAACATGCAAGTAACTAATAAACAGAGAGCAAAGGATATTTACAAACTGGAAAACCACTCCCTTTAATCAAACAGACGTAAATATGAAGGCAATGTTAAGATGTAACTTGTATTTATATTAAAATTCACACACACACAGAGAAAAAGCAGTGCTAAAACTGAAAAAAAATGTTATTTTCCAGTTTCCACCTCAGACAGTATCACTATTCATATTTTAGGTATAGCATTTCAGAAAACACAAGACTAAAGAAAACATCTGAAAAAAGTTACCATATTGCTAGGATCTATGTCATCCCTCACTTGAGAAGCACCAGAGTTCACTGGACATGCTACAAACTCGTATGCTCTTTCTTGATGTGCAGGAACATCCTCTGCGTTCTCAGTTCTATGATCAGCAGTCTTCATGTGCATTGGACAACCTTAAACACAGGAAAAACAGTATACATTTTGCTACAAAATGAAAACTCTAAGATAAGACAGGAAATAGAAAACTTCATTAAATGCTCACATAAATGCAAATGGGTATTTCACATTTTCTTCTGAGCTTTGCCATAGTTTTAACTGTTCTCCTTCCTGCATTTTAGGACCCAACATGATGGTAAGAGATGAGTTTCCTATGTAGTCCCTGAATGCTCATTTCCTACCCCATGCTAGCCCCTATACTGTACTGTTCATACTTAAGGATTTCCTCAGCAACATTAATCCAACATGTGTTGCCCAAGGCAACAGAAGAGCTGATGTCCTTCTCCAGACATTCACCTGACTCCACCCTTCTGCTGCCCTGCATGGTTCTTAGTGACAACCACCTGCTCCCAGCTACTATCTCTGTGGGAACTCCCTGCCCCTCTGTTAGTGAAGCACATGATGGGAATATATTTGCAGGGTCCCTGGAAAACAGGACAACTGGGAGTGACGCACAAGTTCTACAGCAAGCACCTCCTGTCTCTACAGACTAAGCAGCTTGCACACTGTTCTGGTGCACAACTGAGTCCTTTTCATGAAAACTTACTTGAGAGCTACTTTTGCTAAAAGAAAAACTCAAGTTTTTATTTGAAGAATAGTTTATTTTTTTCACCAAAATATTTTTGATTCCGGTTTCCATGCGAAGTGTTTAGTTCATGCAAGTTTCAAGAATGATTACCGCTCATTTTTTCCTGATGCATGGGACATTCTGAAGGTGGAGACGCTGTCTGGTACTGCCTGGATGCGTCCGGTGACTGAGCAGCTGGGGAGGATGCAGACAGACCCATGGCTTCAGCACACCGGGGCTTTGCAGATCAGGTTTCTAAAGAAAAAAAACAAGCTAACACTCGTAACACAAAACACGCTGGTTATTTATTAAGGCGAACACAAGTGCAGTTGTAGAGCTGCATCACAAATGAAGCAATGAAAAGAATCAATTTAATAACCTTCCAGCCTAAATACAAGTCTAAGCGCCTGACCACGAGCAGGCTCCGCGCCGCAC